GCGAGGACTGGGAGCTTCCGGCCTTTACTGTAACCCTCTGCTTAGCCTGACCCCCCCCGGCAGAGGGGCGACGTGAATCCCCCCACCCGGGTCCCTCCTGTCCCGGGCCGCTCCAGAGGGCGCAGGGAACAAGTCGAGCGACGCTCAGCCAGCCTGTCCTGCCGCGCTACGCGGGGTCATAAATACACCGTGGTTTCTATTAACCTGTCCATTAACCCGGCGAGTCTCTCAGCTGCGACGAGCCAGCTCCAGGCGAACCATTTCGAATAATCATTAGTTGTCGGCAAAAAAATCCCCCGTGCTTGCAAGCATTCCCGTTACGTAACTTGTTCACAGCGGATGTTCCCAGTAAAATAATGGCACTGTTAAGAACTGGTAGAAATCTCAGGGTACAGCTGCCGACTCATGTTTTGCTAATTTGGTCAGTGCCGGACGCCGGTTCCCAGAAACGCCGCGAGGGCCTGTCTCCGATCTTTCTGCCTCGCAAAGGGTCTGTTGACTTTGCCCGAAGCCGGACAGGAGTCCGGCCAGACCCGGGTCCGACCCTCTCCCTTCACACAGCGCCAAGCCGGCCCCCTGCCCCTCTGTTCGCGCACGGAGTAAAAAAAACACACTTCCACAGCTAGTTACTATAAACCTTAAAAGTTACAAACGACAGGAAGACGTTTGGATTTCAGTTGGCCCGTTTGGTAGTTTATTCACACATTCATGTGCAGCAACGCACTAGAAACCATTAAAAAAGGTACAAGTGTATATGTATACAAAATAGAGACTCGTTGTAGAAACTCGGCTTTAAAAATAACTTGACTGGCGATGAGGAGCCAGTACTCGGGCCTCCGTCAGAGCGTGCCGACACGGAAGCTTCACTGAAGGCAGTGGTATGATGCGACCCTGGTGTTGTGAAATAGCCGGGTTAGAGCAGGCGTGTGGCATCGGCCTGATTCACAACACCAGCTGCAGCAGCCATACCCGGCGTCGGACCCTCCTCGGCCGCAGGGAGCCGCGGGCAGACGGAGCCCTCCCGGGCACCGATCTACAGCACAGACCGCGCTCGGCGCAAAGCCCGGACTCCGTCAAGCACGGAGACGGGGCGCTCGAAGGTTTTCCGACAACCTGTGTGTAGCTGCAAAAAAAAGTTGTCAACACATAGTTAACAGCAGACAACGCGTTTTTCTTCTGAAAGCCCAGTTACAGAGTAATAGAAAGAAGGAATTCTTCCATAAGGCGTTATATCAGCGAGAGGCAGGCTTTGCAGCCAAACGCACCCCACGGCACAAGCGCTCAGTACAGTCGCTTCCCGACACAAACATTTAAACTCGCACAAAGACCCCTGAAGCGATTGTGATTATTAAGAGAAACGTGTCTGGTGTAATTGTAAGTGCTGTTCGAAGACCGCAAGCAGTATCAAAACCTCATGTAGTTTCAGATCTCAAAAAGACCCGAGATAGTCAGGGGGCGATGCCTCTCCCCCCATCAGCAGGAAGCTAGACTAGGAATCTAGTTTAATAGACTATTCCGTGGAAAGACCACAGCATGATACTTTAAGACTGCGGTTTTAACTGGATTTTGATTATTTCCACCTAAACGATTCTAGCTCATGTCAGTGGCATTTTAATTGTCATGAATAAAGAAAGCATGACCAGTGACTCAAGGCGCAGCCTGCAACTCAGTCACAGCTCGACAGCGCTCTGCTGCTGGTCAAACCGGACAACGTGCTGCTACTCCACCGCCACCTACTGGCCAGCATCTCCCATCCAGGTTTTCAATGCTTCTAATTGCGATTTGAACAACCAAAAAGGACGACTTAAAGCAACTATATCATTATAACCCACGTTTAACGCTTGTTCACTCAACACCCAGCGACGATCGGCTCCCCACGGCTGAGGAAAAATACTCTAAGAAAAAAAGGCATCTATACCGGGACAGAATAAAAATTAGAACCGAGCTGCAGCCAGAACAGTGTGGTGTGTTGCCCTCGTCTGGCTCCAGTCCTGGAACTGTTTGCAGAAAGCAGCTCGTCAGCCTTTACAATCCTCCCTGCTTAGTTTCACATCTACAACACGCGAGGGCTGCGGGTGCAGGGCAGGGCACACAGGTGAGCAGGTATGGGCCCGGGCCAGAAGGACTGGAGCCGGGAGACGGTGCGGTTCGCAGAACAGCGCAGCCTGCTGGTCAGCACTTTACCCCGAGGAAAGAAATGCCAGAACAAATCAATACAATACTGCAGCAGAACACTGTCAAAACAGCAAACAGGAAGTGAGGGCATATTGTGAAAAATGCTTCTCAAAAATCTGTAGATTAATCTTTGGTATGATGACCCTGACAAACGGATTATACAAATCACTACACACTGCTGCTCTGTGGGTTTTTCCCTCAGAGTCTAGGAGGATTAATATTGTACCAGCAAAGTTTATGAATAAGCCAGAGCAGTATAAAGAGGCCATCAGACTCAGGACAAGCACTGGCCATTGAAAACACACTGTAGGTCAAAGCACAGACCTCCCCAGCATTAGCCAGCAAAAAATGCAGAATTCTTACCAGCATATTAATTGCAAATGAGTTAAAACAATACCTTGAGGCGTCATGACAAAAATAAACTTTTCAGCTTAAGCGGTTTCCAAGTAAAATGACAAAAAATGAAAACAAGTTACAGCCAAAACAAATAATCTTGAAACGAAAAAAAAATGGAAAACGAAAAGATTTTATTTAAACCAAGACAACATACAAAGCAGGGGGGCTGGTGGGCAGGCAGGCAGGGGCCCAGCCCAGCAGCGAGGGGGGGGGGGGGTCAGTTCATCAGAACCTCCATCTGGACCAGGCGCGCGTTGGTGTCGCCGGCCATGCGGTATGGGATCATGCCGGCGAAGGTGATCAGGGCCCGGGCCTGCGACCGCAGGTGCTGGGGAAAAACACAGCGAACCCGGCGGTCAAAACGAGGCTCTGCTCTTCCAGGAGCTTGTGCACTCTGACTGCTGAGCTCTCGACCACCATTGAGCTGGGTGTCCACTAGTCACTCAACACACACAAAACATTTTAAATTCAGAACTTTAAATGGAGGACTTAGGGCAGACTAGTATATATTGAGCTGGATATTATATAAATATAGAAATTCTTACATAATAATAAGTCGCGATCATCTGTTCTTTTAAATGCTCTGCTGGTAAGTGCCGTATTGTTTGTATGGTCTGAAATATGAACCATTCACAAAAAAATGTGAATCTCAGAAACTGGTGGGAGATTTCATCTTTCCCACACTGATTCAACAGAAGGTTGAGAGCCTCTAGGGGCTCAGAGTGAGAGTAGCTCCAGTGCTCAGGTGGAAGGAAGACTTGCACATGGTGAATTCCCAACAGGAAAAGCAGATCTCAGGCAGCAGTTACATCAGCTAACCTTAATTTAGAACAGGTCATGAGGGGGGAAAAAACAGACCTAAGACACCGAAATTAAACGTTTTTGTTTGATTTGCCCCATAAAGATGCAAAAATGCATCTGCCAGAAGGCATGACCCTTGACCCCTGACCCCTGACCCGACAGACCGTGCTTACTGAGTCCCTGTCCTCCAGCGAGCGCTGTGGCCGGACTGGGGTAGCAGCTGCGGTTCCCTTCAGTCTCTTGTACTGTGTGAAGAGGATGTTCATGGTGGCCAAGAGCACCTCAGACAGGTTGTGTCTGACCTGAAAGAAACAAACTAACTTTTCAATGCCCGTTTTTGCCAAGATGCCCAGTAGGACTGTGAGGGAGCAAGACATGAGAAGCCAGTAGCCTGTTCCCACAGCCTGGGACAGATCCTCCAGCAGCCCAAGGGGGGGGGTCTCACCTCATCGCTGAAGTTCCTGAAGGCGGCCACCCTCTCCTCCACACTGTCCTGGCTCAGAGGGACCAACTTCAACCTCTCCATCACCTGTACACACCACAGCCCACACAGGGACACAGGCCGAAAAAAAAACAGTTTACAAAGAGAACATTTCCCCCCAAAGTTCCAGCATCAGAGTTGACATATTCTCCTTCACAAGACTACAGCCACAGCTCCCGGGGCCCCAGCGACATGGTGAGAAGAAGTTCCCCAAACTCACGTCGTAGGCTCTGTCGATGTGACCTGCGTGATACTCGTCGAAGAAGGTGATGAGGTCCAGCAGGAGGTAGAAGGTGCTGTCCAGAGACTTCTCCCCAGCCGTGCCCTGGGCCCTGTAGCTGTGTGAGTGGAGACCGACAGGCCCAACGTTAAACCCGGGGCAGAGAGGGAATCTCTCCCAGCTCCAGTACCACAGTGCATCAAAGCTCCTTCCACAGTCAGGACCGGCCCCCCGCCTCACTGCAGCGCCAGGCAGGACCGGTGCCCCCCGCCTCACTGCAGGAGCTACACCGCTTGGGAGCGAGCACTTTTGCTGCGGGCCAGAAACCACACTTTGGTTCAGGTACAAGCCCAGAATGGCTCCTGCTGCTGCACATTTCAAGGAGGAACCAGGAAGGCTACTTGGGCCGAAAGGAAGGAAAGCCCAGCGTACCGCTCTGCGATGGCCAGTGCCATGTTCTTCAGCCTCTCCTTGTTGGACTGTGGCGCGCTGACCTGGGAGATGACCGGACTGAGCAACCTGTTCATCAGCTCCATTACCTTATCAGGATTCTGCCCAAAACACAGATTAAGGCATAACGCACACTGAAGCACAACACGATTTCTGTCAATTTAATGTTCCAAAACAACTATTCAAGGATAGTTCCCAACTCTGCATGAACATTAAGGCCTTACACATAGTTGGATACAGTGTGGCTACAGCATGTCCGTGCGATTGATATGTCAGACATACACATGTGAGGCCAAAACAGCCCAGACAGTGTCAGGCTACAGCTGACCGCACACCGAGCTGACCCCCCTCATGCACTTTTTACATAAGAGAACACAGCACACAAGACAAGAGACTCTTTACCTTGGCGAGTTCATACAGCTTAACCGCTTCTTCGAAAAGCCCCTTGTTCTCGGCTTCAAGAGCAACTCGGCTTATTATAGCTCTGGTGTCTCCTGCAAACTTGTCAATCACCCCTGGCTGCCAGAGCCCACCCCAGAAAAGAAGACAGGGAAACGATTTTAGTAAACCAGAAGACAAATTTCAAAATTCAAGCTGCGCTGCAACAGCCACAGCTCGGCTACAGAAACCGGAAATAGAAAAAATCACAAACGAACCTTTCTGCTTCCGTCTTTTTCTAGTCTCCCCAGTAGCATGTCGAACTGTAGAAAAATAACGAAAAATAAGACGAAAAAAACAGAATATTAGTTTTTCAGAAAAAAACTTCACAGCCGATGCTCCCGTCCTCCCCTGCAGGATGAACCTGTGGTTCAGTAGCCGTTTTAAAGCAGCAACTATCCCCAATGTCACATACAACACCTACAACATGTGAGTTCTACAAAAACAAAGAAAAAGAAGAAAATAAACAAGGAACTGGGAATTACGGTATAGTACCATCATCTAAGCAATGAAAATCCTGTAAGTGCAACAATGGAAAAAAATCAACCTGTTGACTTGAGCTCAATTCAGTGTTTTGCAAAAGCATCCCCTTGCACAGTTTTCATATTTGATGCTACAAAGCTCACAGTCATGACACTATGAGGTAGCAACTAATATCCGATATATCTGCAACCAACTCCATACATGCCAAGCCTGAACGCAATGCAGAAACTGACCTCCCGACTCTCGATCACGAGCTCGCTGACGCACCGCATGAACATGTTCTCTCCTTGGCTGTCCTTCTCGTTCCTGGGGGGAGCAGAAAAGAGCAGAGAACTTTTTCCACGAGTTCTGCAAGACCTGCAGCGCCCGTCCCGACCTCGCAGATTCTGGAGATCAGTGGGGAGACCCCCTGTTTCCCCAAATTACGGTTAATTCCTGCTGCATCACATGGTATTATGTTCAGTTCAGTTCCGGCACATGAACATGCTTCTTTTGTTTCGCACACTTCAGGTTCCTTGAAAGAAATTCATGCCATGCCAGGACTCGAGAAACATCTATTAACCATAGTGCATTTGCAGGCAGGCTGCGAATCAATTCGCAAATATTATTTCTCAAAGACCGGAAAAGGCTCTTCATAAGTTTCTTTTTTTACCAGCAATAAAATCGAAACACAATTCCCGATGCGCTAATCCAGTGCCCCTTAAAGTCAATAAAAAGGCTGAGAAGATCAAAAAAACGATCTGAAACAAGCCACAGGAAGTCAAAGTGTGGAGGCAGCGCTACCTGAGGAAGTAGAAGTACTGCAGCGCCTCCCGGGGGTCAGTGGACTCGAACTTGCGGGTGTACAGCATTAACAGGCGGATAAAATTCAGCCTCCTGATCATAGGAGGGTCCCCCGGCTCCTGGCTCACTGCAGAGACAGAGAACAGGCTTCATTCACCACCTCTTCGCACGCCCACTGCGTCACGAGGGCTCTCGGCTCAACGTGGGGACCCCCCCGGGCCCCAACATGCAAACTCCTCGCAGACAGCACCCCAGGTCCAGGACTGCCCCAGCTCTGCCAGGCAGCAATGGTGACCTTGGTGGTTTATAAAAAGTCCAAATAAGTTTTGAAATTGGAATTCAAGAAGGAGGAGAAGCCTCAGGTTCACGACGTCACCATGAGCCTCCGGGATCCCAGGAAGATAGACGGGATCACAGCTGTGCAGGGAGGTAAGACAGCCCTGGCAGACTCATGACATCTGACTCATGGAGACTCTTATTTTGGGGTTCCCCAGCACCGTTTTCAGAGGCAGAGGTGCCAGGAGAGAGACACAGCGCCGCAGGAGGGAGTGCACTCACGCAGCTGGGCGCTCTGCCCGGAGGACTTCAGCAGCAGCCGCAGCTCGTGCAGCACCAGGGCCACGTGCACGGCGTGACTGCGCAGCCGCTCCACGCGGAACAGGAAGGCGATGGCGGCCTCGAACTGCGCAGTCAGGAACAGCACCTGGAAGTACAGGAAGGGCTGCTGGCCAGCCGCAAAATGCGACTCCCCTGCAGAAACACAAACGCACCAATCTGGGTTCACTGACCGCAATGCACTTCCCAGTCATTTAGCACAACTAGCTCATTCCTATAACTGCTTTCCGAGCAACAGTGTTTAATAAACAGACAGAAAACCTCCTTCGAGACTCGCCAAGATGCCAAAAATGATTTAAATCGGCATGAAGTACTCTACAACGTTAGATTAAAGCACACTGACTCGACTTAGACCCAAGGTATTTCACGAGTGCAGAGACGAAGCAAGAGGGCGACTGACCATAGTCCTCCAGCAGCTGCTTCTGCAGCTGGGGCAGTGCCAGTCGGTCCTGCGGAGAGCTGCCGCCGTCCTCCTCGAAGCACACCTGGCTCAGCTGCGCACAGACAGACACAGACAGCAGCACGTGAGCCCGGTCTCACCGCGTCCGCCAGGGGCCACCAGGGACGCCAGGGGCGGAGGCCGCGTCTCACCTTCAGCCAGAGGTAGTCCTCGGTCTTGTCAGCCACCTCGCCGTGGCTGTCTGCGATGTCACACTTGCCGATCAGGCAGTACACGGCCCGCTTGTAGGGGTCGGTGCTGTTGCGCAGGATGCGGCGGTAGTGCAGCCGGAGCTTGTTCTCCGTGGCAGGGGCCAGCCTGGCGGGAGACGGCACAGCCTGGTCAGGAACCCGCGGCCGCCCAAGTGACAGCATCTCCCGTCAGCCGCACAGGGACGCCCGCTTTGGTGCTTTGACCACCCATATTCTAAGCTCTTCATCCAATTCAGGGTCATGGGGGAGCCAGAGCCTATACCAGCAAGCAATGGGCACAAGGCAGGGTACGCCTTGGATAGGATGCCAGTCCATCGCAGGTATTTAAATAATTAATTCAACTGTTTAATGGAAAGAAAAACATTCACACCCTGGACAGGATGCCATTTCATCACAGGGCACACACAAGCACACACACAAGCACCAGGGCCAGTCTTCCCTGAAGTCAATTGACCTGCCAGCATGTCTTTGGACTGTGGGAGGAAACCGGAGCACCTGAAGAAAATCCACATGAACACAGGGGAACATACAAACTCCACACAGACAGCACCCCAGGTCTGGAACTGAACCCAGGGACCCAGCACTGAGAGGGTGCAATGTTAATCTTAATGCTTAAAAAAATGGGATTAAAGAAGAAATTACAAACTTGTATAAGTACCTAAACTTGCCCATTCAATTAATCCAGATCTATATATATATTTTAAACTACAGATAATTAAGTGAGGCTATTACAAGAATGAAGATTCACCTTGGTGAAGAATGGAAAATCAGCCTGAAGACACTCATCTTTCGCAAACAATCTCTACAGATAAGAATTTACCCATTAACCTAAGCACCTTGCCAGAATTTGACTGAAACAGCCTTCCTGTCCTGCGAGCTTTGCAGAGAGCTGCTGCAACCATGCCTCGTTATTGGGAGATATTTTCCCATTATCCTGCAGCTGAAGCTATGATTACTTAATTATTCTTTAAATTGCTTGCCTTGGAGAGGTGTGGGCAGCAGCCTGGGGTTGCTTCAGTACCTCAGTCTCTCTGATTTATGCTGCGATTAAAGGCTGAAGCCCTGGATTCAGTTCCCAGTAGACAAACTCTGCTCACAAATCCAATGAGTTAGCCACTCCACTCCTTTTGGAAGCATCTCACTGTCAGTGCAGCCTGGATGTTTCCCTGAGATTGTTTCTGCATTCTGCAGTTTCTATACACTGTTGTATGGCTACGCGGGTCATGGACCTGCAGGGTCAGGGCTCACCGGCGGTCAGGGCTGTTCATGTACTCCTGGAACCAGTTCTTGAACTCGCCCAGCTGGTGCTGCGCCCGGTTGACCACCTGCATGGCGGCTGACAGGTCCCCGCAGCGCAGGCAGTAGTAGATCAGGGCCCAGACGGGATGCCCCTCCACCTCCCCGTCCTGGGGAGACACGAGACGGGGGGGCTGCGTGAGGCCGACAGACAAATCAAGACAACAAGCAAGGTCCTCCAACGACTTTCATCGAATTCTAAAATAAAAATGCAGGTTTGCTCGATACAGTGCTAACAGGAGTCAACAACGCAGCGAGATATTTCACAGTTCAAGTAGGGAGCTGCGTCAGCATGCGCAGGCTGCAAAGGAACAAGTAAAGGTTTATTCCCTGCTGAAAAGAGAAGAAAAACAACGTTTCCGCTGCGGAGGCTTCTTGGGGTGTTTCGTTTCTGCTCTTTTCAGCACTGAATAAACCCTTACTTGTTCCTTTGAAAGATATTTAAACCAATCAGCCCTGCATCAATGCATGCTGGAGCTTACAAGTGCTAACTGGCACTTCTTCTTACTGTTACATTAATTATTTCAACTTTATAATGACATGATTCAGTAAGACAGTTTAAACATCTGTCTGTAAAAAAAGAAAGCATGACATAATACTTGCAAAGTGGAAATAATGTGAACGCTCTGAGCAGCCCAGTGCCTTATTGGCATGTTGGGTCTCAGCGGTGCAGGGACACAGGCGAGGTCAGTTTGCAGCTCATGCTGTTACAGATGCCTGGGACAGCAGCAGACTGCAGACGGGAGGTACCTGCATTCCTGGGAGTGGTCCTGGCAGCTTGATGTTGAGGAAGCTGTGCACGAGCTGGTAGGTGCCGGGCACGCCTCCCAGCTGGGCCTGGTACAGATTGCCAAACACGGTCACCATGGTGTAGTTCTTATAGCTGCAGCAAGAGAACAGAGTGTTAAAGCATTCTCTTTCTCCAAACTGGAAAAACATGTCAAAAGCCACAAGAACCGCTATAATCTGGAGGTGCCATTCAGTCCATCAGCTGTTTCTTGAAAGAAACCAGGGAATCAGCTTCAGCACCACAGCTGGGCAGCTTTTCCCATACCCCCACATCCCTCTGGGCAGAGAAGTGCCCCAAACTCTTGGTTTTAAGTACACTTCCTTGTAGAAAGCTGAATATAACATGGAGAGCCGATTCCAGACTGTGCATCTCCCAATCCCGTCTAACAGGATATCAAATTTGAACTTTAAGACTAAGACTCAGCTTGCAAAATCCAGCTGCTCATAGGTCAATAATGCAATCCATAATTGAAGCAACGGCTACGGAATAATAAATATTTTTTCATATTAAATTTAAATGTTTTAAGTAAGGTTGTAAAGGTTTAGATATGAAGACATTAAAACCCAGTGACACTGTGGAACTAAGTAGCGAGATATAAAGAGGCCCAGAAGTTTTATGAACAGCTGCCAGCTCTTTCCAGCCCCTTTGTGAGCAGCACTGGGACTTACACCATCACAGGCACGGCGGCCCTCTCCCAGCCCCCGGCTCACCTGCGCTCCAGGAACTGCTGCGCCTGTCGCACGAACGCCATCTGCAAGTCCACGGAGACGCGGCTCTTCAGCGCGTCCTTGGCTGGAACCAGCAGGACGTCGGTCATCTGCTTCACCATCGCCCACATCTCGGACACGCTCTGCAGGACAGGCCGAGAGCGTGGTCAGAGACGTGCCAGCGGACAGAAATGCAACAGGGCCACAGCACGCACAGGAGCTCAGTACAGCTCTTTCCCTGGGTACTGTATTACTGACGATCACTGCTGCAGTCCCTCCCTCCTAATTGTTCAGGCCTGTAAGCAATGGCGGTCCTATTGAATTGCAGCTGGTGACCTGGAGTGCTGGCACGCCCTCTGACATTTCCATTACACCAGCGAAAGTAACCTGCACATGCACGTAGCAAGGCTGTGTGGACTCCCTTTGTCAACCTCCCAACCTTCAGTTTACAGCAAGAATGGACAAGGCCCAGCAATCACAGGACACAGAGTCTACTAGCTTGTGTGACACCTGAGCTCTTAATTGCATTATTGATACCACAGTTCAATAAACTGGACCAATTCAACATTATCTCCATTATTTGCCTGTTGACGACTTGCAGGGGGTTCTTGGTCCACACCGGCCTACCTTGTCATCCAGACTGTCGGCGACAGAGGCACAGAGATCCCCCAGGCTGGGCTGCAGGTGGCCGCTCATGATCTTCTCATTGTAGACGTAGATCTGCTCAGACAAATGTGCCAAAAAAAAAGCAGCATGTAGCCGGGGTTAGGGGCTCTGGACTCCTGACCGGGAGGGTCAGGGGTTCAAATCCCAGGCAGGGAGCAGCCTGTGGAAGGTTCCCCCCTCGTATTGCCCCTGTAGCTGCCCTGCTGGGCCACTTGTACAGATGGGACACCAGGTCATCCTTGTGAAGGAGCCTTTCTCAACTGAACTGCTTGATGAAATGAAGGATTGCAAATAGCAGAAATGAGCTGGAGTGGCGCGAAGTCAATCGATGCGGTACGTTATATCCCTTAGTTCTCAGCGTGGCGAGAGGAGGAGACCCGACTCCTCTCCTCTGTAAAGCAGGGCAGCGAGACGTATCCAGTGCACCCCTGCCTCCTCAGCAACAAGCATCTTCAATCTGCTGCTGCTTTACGTAACCTGACCTAGTTTGCGCAGGGCGGACTGCTGCATCCCTGTGCTGCAGAGGCCGCAGCTGGGCCGGTGTGGTGCGAGCTCTCGGCGCAGGCCAGAGCTGGGGGATTTGTCAGCACAGGGATGCAGCAGTCTGCCCAGACTGCAGCGTTTGAAGGCGGCATCAGCTCTTCCGACGCCGAGCCCTGCATCTGCAAGACGTCACTCAATGTCGGCTACAGAGCCATGTTTATTTGAACAAGGCACGACAGATGGTGCAGCGCAGCACACGGCAATGTCAATCGCCCCTGTTCTGCGTCCGTTACGAGAGGCTGAGGCTCGACTTCCTCACCTGGCGGCCGTACGACACCTCCACGCTGTCCAGAGCGCTGCGTCCCGGGGCTCCCGCATCGCTCACGAAACTGGGCTGCAACAGAACAAGCACGTCAAGCAGAGGCGATCTGGAGTGTCACCTCGACCGTCCAGGGGCCGCCCGCGCCCGAATCCCCGGGGCTCACAGCACAGAGGGGTCCCCAGGCCTCACCTGAGAGCCTGGAGAGGAGTCAAACTACCCGAGGTCTCAGGAGCAGCAGGACCCGTCTGACTGACGACTGACAGAGGAGCCCCTAAACAATGATGGCAGCAACGCCACGGGAGGCCAGAAACAACCGTTGTTTTCAAAAAGAGGTGCTGTTGGATTACAAAATCCACAGCTGCCGTTTCCAGAGAGCAGGTTCACTCTGCCTGGGGCGTCTTCATTCCACCCTTAATTTCTGCTATGTCCCAGCCCCTGAACTGTCAGGCTTTTATGGCCCTTTACAGCTCTAATTTCTAATAACTTTGGTCATGTCCCTTGTTTAATTGGAGCAGCGCACATATACAGTACGTACACATTCTCCCAATTACCAGTGGTCTGCGAGGGCCGTCTGAGGGGAAAATTCAACACGCCTGAGCAAACAAATTTAACTGCGCCTTCCAGACGGAGGCCGGATCGGAAACAAAAGCTTGCTCGCGCTTCCCAGATCCCAGGTGGGAAACCACCGCCGCGGCTGGGGAACCGTCCTGACAGGTCACGAGCCGTCTCCTTCGTGTTGCAAAAACGAATTAATTCCCAGTTCATTAAAATAACGGGAGTCTCCATACCAGCACAGGAGATTCAGAGGAGGCCGGACTGCGCTGTGCAGAAGAAAAGAAGGTCAGAAAGTTTAATTTTTCATAGTCAGACTTGTCACTGTGCTGCCTGGTGATAGGGGGTCACAGCCCCTCTTTGAAGACAGCACTGACTGCGAGGGGCAAGGGGGCATCGCAATTCTTTCATGCTAATTTGCCCCTGCAAAACAGGTGCAACTTGTCTGTGTTTCAAGAGCCCCTTGAAGTGGGTGGATCCTGCAGCCCAGTCTGGGCTCCTCCCTTGGCACTCTGCGACTCTCCAGGGGACAGAGGGGAACAACCTACAGTCCACGGCGAGCGCTAACAGCAGAACAAATGCAAAATTTAAATTCCTGTTAATAATTAAAACAGTGCAGGCACAATGTCTCGTGCTTGCTGTTGGTTTCGGCACGGTAAGTCTTGAAAAGTGCCCGCTTCAGATTGGAGTTGCTTGAATTATAAAACTCCACCACCACCTCCCACCTCCCTTATTCTTGACAGAACAGGGACTGAGGCTGCTGGGTTAAAAAAAGGACTGGCAGCTCACACAGAGCCTCTCCTGGGGAGGTGAATACAGGACACGCTGGCACCCTGTTGAATGGACGCTGCAGAACCGGGGGACAGGCCACGGGCGACCGCTGTGCTCACATGCTGGCTGCAGCAGGGTGCCAGTGGAAACAAGCAACCCCTCGCCCTTGTCCATACAGAAACAGCCAAACCCCCCCCATACTCCCACAGTGCTTGTGCACCATAAAAACAATCAGCCAAAGTTACCAGACACCACATGTTGCACAACAACAAGATCCTGACAACGGGTGTTAATGTTTACTCAATTTAGTGCTAGGTGTTTTTTCCCCACAAAGGTACTACCTCCACGTCACGGATACTCAACTCTGCTCCTGGAGGGCCACAGCATTTATATCGGATCTCTCTGGATCTATAACTGAAGACACTGGAGAAGTGCTACAGCGGCCCAGTTATGCGAATTGTTTCAATCGTGTCATCAAGGGGAGAGGGCGCCTGTGGGAGCTGGAGGAGCAGAGCTGGGCCCCAGCTGCTGCCGCTGGCCGGAAGGCGCCGAGCTCGCGGCCCCGGGGCTGCTGACCTCTAGCTCCTGGGTGAAGTCCAGGGCGTCCTCGCCGGCCGCCAGCAGAGTGTGCAGGACCCGCTGCTTCACCTGCTCCCACTGCACCAGCATGGACTCGCGGTGGTACTCCTCCGCCAGCAGGAAGGTCTGGGAGGCGAGGGGGAGAGGGAGAGCGAGTCAGCGGGAGCAGGAGGGGGGGAGGAGAGAGGACACACAGCCGTGTCACAGAGCGCGTCTTTGCGGCAGGGGTCTGCTGCTCCAACACGATTCCTGACTCTCCGAACCCCCAACGCAAGGGGCTCGTCTCGGAGTGGCAGTGTGCTGACTGACCCGTCACTGGACACTCGCAGGGCTCCAACTGCAGCTCTTACCCCCAACACCCGTGACTACCAGGGAGCAAGCGCAGGTGCCGATATACCTCATACACCCCGAGCCCAGCTGAGCCCTTGCTCTACTAGGCCTACGTCAGAGACCGATCGCACCTTTAGAAGATCAGCCCAGTGTCAGAATTAAAAATCAAGGAGCACCATGGTGTTTACATGTGAGAATTTCTTGCTGTGTTAAATCAACATAACTGAAACTAACTGGTACATAGAAATGATTACGTTCTATATGTGCTTAACTCCCATTAAGCTGTATGTGAGCTGCAGTGGACTGTCCTGAACTGCCGTTATGTACAGGACGAAAAAAAAACGGCTTCTGCACCACCTCATAGACACGGTGATGGCAATGGCAAGGGGTCCTGTCTGGTCACTGCGCCCGCAGATGTTCGATGTCATTGATCTCTTCGTCACTGATGCAAAAATAACTGCCCCGCTTCACACAGTCGGATTTAAGAGAAATGTCACTACTGCTTTTGTTTCGAAGAGCAGTGCGACATTTTTACAGCAGTGGTCACTGATTTTATGAGTACGGGCAGCATAACGAGGAGGCTTTAGTGGTGACGCAGCTGACAAAGGGAGAGAGGAAGGCAGCGAGAGCAGCTGTGCGCAGGCTCTGCAGCTTCTGATGTGAAGCACCGCATTCTGACCAAGGCACACCCTCCATCGCCTTCACAGACACATTCATACAGACTGCTCCTCAGTTCATTGGAGCTTGAACTCGCATGCAAATTTACCAATAAATTAAACCCCGTTTCTTCGCCATCACAATGTCCTTTCTTAAACAAACTTTGTCGATGAATGTCATCATTAAGAGTCGCGTAAGTCAGTGAGCCTTGAAATCAATTTCGTTCAGCACAATAAAAGCAACTATATCGGTGATCGCGAAGGGCTGTCCAACACCTGTGCAGTTTCTGCTCCTACATCTCAAACCCATCGCAACATTTCATGAAATGAGCCACAGATTTTTAATTAGCATCAAGATTATGATAGACTAGGAAAGCAAACAATGGCTTCCATAGAAGTATGCACCACCTTATTCTGCGGAATCCAAAATTACCTCCATCGTTCCGAATTTAAATGGAAAACAGCAGTAGATGCTTTTTTTAAAAACGCTGATTCAGAGCACAGGCCTACTGTAGGGTTACATACCACAGTTTTTATTTTGCTTCATATGGGCATGAAGGCAGAAGAACAGATCAGAGCTTCTCCTACATCCGCAGCAGCAATTGAGCCAAAAAATTTCCATTGTTTTCCTTCGGAGGCACAGAAATGGTTTCAAACTGGGTCTGATCCTTTGGGTCTCAAGAAACACCGAGAGAAATGGGAACTATCTAGGACTTGGCCAGTCCTGATTTAGTGAGGACTTACAATATGCTCCCACTTTTTCTATTTCTAGTCACACCTAGGGAATGCTTCATAATTGCAAAACCTCCTAATTAAACTGGCGAGAACTTCAGAAAAAAAAACAGTTAAGCACAAGGCAATGAGTGCCTATATTTAGATGAATGTCAATCAATTGACACTTCGAGATACTGTCGGGAGAAGCATGGCATCAGGATATGCTATGCTTACAGGATCAAGACGCAATATACATCAAGACCCAACTGAAGAACCTCCTGCAGTCTGGTACCATTCTTATGACTCTTCCCAGGAAGACATTTCCCAGCGCAGCTCCGCCTGCACTGGGTCAGACTCAGCTTTCAGAGGTGGGGTATGTGGCAGACTCTGCCCAAAATGTCAGATCCCCTTTCCCCAGGCAGGTGGCAAAACATCTTAACGGCTATTTTTGATTCAATCTCGTTGTCTAAAATGAAACTGCTTGGCACTTGGAAAGCATCACCGAAACATGCACAGCGCTAACTGCAGCCACAGGAAGAGGGACCACCCCCCCCCATCCACACCCTGAGGAGGAGCGAAGTTGAAAACCCGGCTCTCCCGACCTTCCACAGCCCGACAGTCGGCTGCCACTCACCCTCCTCCGCGACTCCTCGATGGCCGACAGCAGCGCATTGTCTCGCTCGTTCTTCAGGAAGCCCTGGGGGGACAGAGGAAGAGGAGGCGTCGTTAATTCAATAACCCCGCTTCATGACGCATCGCTGTCCGCTGTCTGAGACGCCACGCGCCCGCGCTCAGAGGCCAGTACCCTTGCAGGATATGAAAGCGCTGAAGGACTTTTTCTGCCGAGCAACCTGATAAGAAGGATTACCGTGTGATTCTCGGGCCCAGGCCGGGGCTTAGGATACACAGGCCTGCACGGCGAAATCGTACCCAAGCAGAACTGTTCATGTGACACTATGTACGAGGATCATGTCAAAACAAGCCAAATTAACGCCAATGAGAATATCAGAACATTACTCTGTAGTATTGGAACTGGGTGTAAAGTCTATCTTTCATTTTTCCCCAGAAACTGCCGATTCAACTTTGAAAAGCCACCATCTCGCACACAGCTCACACGACTGATCTAGTTACTGGTGCTGCTCCACTGCTGCAGAGCTGCCGCCCTGTCCTGCCATGCTGGAAGGAGGAACCCTCCGCTCGGCGGGGCTCCTGCCCTTGCGGCCGGCCCGGCCCGACAGAGCCGTGACGAGGGCAGCTCCCCTCGAGAAACTGGAGACGCTGCCGCAGTGGCTCGCGTCAAGAGCGGGGATGGGCCATGACGGGCCACTCGGGTTTCTATTCAACTGCACCCGTGCAAAACTCCTCATGTCGACCTCTGCGTTTCCTGGAGAACGCGAGAACGGAGAACCAAAACTGGAATCCGATTACATCAGGTGTTTTCTGTGAAACGATTCAGAGAGCCGCTCACTGATTCCCTTAATTTCACGTGGGCTAAGCTACCTGCCGAGTTACAGATGCTGCAGCTCTTCTCGTCTGCCTATTGTCCCCCTTTTATCCCTCCAACACGCCAGCAGGGTGCGGCGGGTTCGGGTTTCTGGAGCTCACAGCACAGCCGGACGACACACCTAAAGCCAGCCTGGGAAATGGAGGAGACGACTCCAGACCCACTTCTGAGCAGCTCCCTTTTCCCCAACAGGAACGGAGACGACTTGTCGGGAGAAATGACCACATCCGTTACGGCCCTTACTGCATGACGCAGCATACAGATCTACACGCGCTCGCTGGAACACAAGGGTTTTCTGTGCTTTAGACTGACATTTCCATGTCGCCTAAATCGCAGAGAAAAAGAAATGCAGGAGACTGCCTGTTATGTTTAAATGTCAAGGGGAAATGCTTTTACATTGTGCATGAAAGGCTAAATATAGACCCGATTCCCACCCAGCCCAGGGATCGAACTCTACCCTGAAAGCACCAGAATGGATGGCTACTGGCACAGAGCCCATGCAGAGACGTAGATCTGCGCCACTCAGCTGCCCCACTAGAGCAAAAACTAGAGTCCTGAGTCATGCTAGCTGGGTTCTGGGACCAACAGAAACGGACTGGGGAAAGATGTATTGGGGTAGTGTTCGGGCTCGGCCCAGTGTCAGATGGAAACTTGGCCCTTTTGGTCTGGGACTGCTTGAGGCCCAACCCGTCCCTGTTCAGACTCCTGAACAAAAGTCAGACAATCCCCACCACCTCCGTGCGGGAGTGTCTTGTGGTACCGCTGTAAGACCCGTTAAAAACATGCCTGGAACTTATTTCACTTGTGTCCTTAGTTTTTTCGATGTTTCTACTTAATGTAATGGAGGTGACCCCCCAGTGAAAGCTACGCCCATCTGAGAGGTACAGGCAACACCCTCAGACATGCTTCTCTGCCCATCGCCTCGTTCTCATTTAATCACTGCAACTGAAGAGGAAGAGGAACTGTCACCTCACCTAGACATGAATCTCTCAATTACTCTCAATTCACGCCGTTTCAAGAGCATGCATCTGTGATATCTACAAACAGAAAGAGGATCAGTCTTTCAGTAACTGATCAAAGTAAATTTACTGACGCATTCCCCAATCACTTGAAATTCCAATCTCTCAACCCAGATGGTTTTCCAAGCAGGAAGCACAGACAACAAATTCGCTTTTCATGCTGAAAGCTATATAAATGTTTCTCACATATATGATACAAGATCCTTGTAAAAATAAAGCAAAGATTAATTTAATCATTAACCTCTGTCATGTAGAGTGTATATATATCCTAGTATTTTCAGCCTGCGTACGCCATATATACGCCAGGTATACACCTACGAAATGAAAATGATTTATACTATATAAACACACTGTGAGTATAATATCGAAAAATATCCTGCAAAAGGAACAACTGTCACTCTTAAGGCAAGATCTGAGTTCTCCTATGTTCTTATGGAGTTATGTACATAGAGAAAAACTCCTGCCAAAGCCTTATTCTGTTCCTTTTTAATCTATATTAGAGGCTGGCTTTGCTGCTGACAAATGTATGGGCATTTCCAGAACATGGCTAAACAGCTGAGCATCCGTATTTGAGATCATATAGGCACTGCAGCTGATCTTCCCCAATTCACAAAGAAGAAATAAACTGGGAATGTCACACTGCATTACCAGACAAGATATTTTCAAGATCCCACCTAATCCACAGTCTCAAGACCTTCTGAACGCTCACATGCAAGATATTGTGTGTTAATCCACCTAGCCAAAAATTCATTCATCAAACTGCAATACAGAGAGTCTATTAAATTATCACAGAATATGCGGATTTCCTAACACACATGTAAGCATATACACTCATATTAAGAACAAATGAAAATCTGAATACAAAAAACACCAACAAATAAATGACAGTTAATCCAAACACACCTATAACCCCCATCTGTCACAATCTGCACATTTGCATACTGCAGGAATATTTTACCTGCTGTAACAGTCCCTTGGAAAACAATTTAATTTTTTTCCATATTTTATTTCTGAACAATGAAGACCACAAGAAACCCCACCCTTTCTCCCGACTTCCCAGGCAGCCATACAGAGCAAGCAACATTTCTTACCCACTGTCAGCTAACTGCTCTGAAAATCTGGGTATGATTGTGGGCAAGGAAAAAAAAAAAATCAAAAGAAATCAAACCACTGCGCTCACTTGTATAAACAGAAATTATACTCACTGGCCTGTTCTGCGCAGTTTCTCAGCTGCAGGCTGTGGACACACGATAGCCCAGCAGAAAGTTACTGTGCTCCCCGGTGCGCTGAGACAGAGGCGGCTCGGGCTGCCTGTCATTGTTCAGGCTGCAGGAACAATGGGAGCAGAGGGCAGGCAGCTCAGGTGATGCCCCCCTGCCTGCCACGCCGGCCCTGCTCCGCGCCTGCTCATGCTGCAGCCCCCAGCCCCTGCGTGCAGGCCACTGGTCTGAAACCAGTAAGTACAGCAGGAAGGGCTACTGTGGGCTGTTTTATTGTAGGCGGACCATACCATGTCAACTCACACAATGGGGGGAGGTTGGATTTGAGTAGAGAAGGAGGCTGGACCATTTGAGCCCCACCCCCACAAACACACCTCTTTTCTCTCTTTTTTTTTTATCTCCCCCCCTCGACCTCCTCTTTTTTTCTTGCGCAATGCAATTATGATAATGGAATTTTTGTGATGGCTTCCGACATCCTGTCTTGAAATTAGGCTAATAATCCTTTTAGCTGTCATGTTTTGTTAATGAGTGAATGCTGCTGCTGCATGGCCATGCATCACTGGGGCAGCACACTGTACCAGCACATGCAAAGCTATTTCCATCAACCTACTGTAACAGCTTTTATTAGCATATGTGGTGGCCAGCACAGAACTGCCTCTCCTCTCTCCCTGCTGTCTTCCCAGAGAGGATGTCTCCTCCTGACTCCGCCATCTTACTGCACCACTGCGATGCCTCTCTCCTCCTCCGCTGCCTTTGTTGATGTGAAAGAAAATCCACTATCTGGCCTCTGCAGACAGCAGCAAACCAGGGAATCTCAGGGTTTGCGCACAAGCATATTATTTAAAAGGAAATTTAAAAAAACTGACTGCTGCCACAAAATGTAAGGATTAAACTAAAGTAAAAAATAACGCTTTTACATTTATTATGTTAATAATGTGGCATTTGTTCTGTAAAGACTTCAGGAGAAACTGTCAAAACACAGGTAGCAAATAAACACAGGTGCTCTTTAATTGCCTAAGAGGGGGTGTTTAAATGCATAGCGAGGGCCGATCATGCTACCCTGTGAAAATACAGACAAGATCACCGCCGTTCCTCCACAGAGCTCGCTCCGGCGCCGCTGCTGCAGTTCACACAGACATTCATCTGGTGAGCGAACGCACCCACAGCGCACGCTGACTGGAGGAGCCAGGCGCCGCCATGAGAGAAGCTGGCCGTTCCACGCGGCGCGCCGCAGTGCTCGCTTTCAAAGCGGGCGAGTGCGGGGGCAGCCGGAATTACTGGTGTTCTCTCAGCTCCTTCATACTGAAAAGAGAAAGGAAAAACCGCCTTACATGCTACAATTGGGCGCCTGATCGCAATATCGGGAGAAAACCTCGCTGCAGCAATGCACACCTACACGCCAGTGCCAAGACAAAGGGTGACCCAAGGCCCGCAGTAAGTGCGCAGCTGAGTCGAGCACTTAACTCCTCCGAGCCTGCCAAGACCGGGACTGCCCGGCAATGGTGACGCCGAGACCCCAGCACTCGTCAGAGACGGCCCCCCAGGGGCGCCGCGCCCAGACGGCCCCTGGCATCCCACCATGGCAATCGTACACAGTAACACACAGACGCAGAATTAACGCACAGGTCCTTCCTCAGGACAGGACAGAGGTCATCCATGATTTCTTACCCTCAGTATTCTGTACATACATAAATATTACTGTGTGTGGATAAAGGATGAAAAAAATAAGTGTGTGTGTCTGTACGAGGGTAATTTTTGTTCTATACATGTTATGGCTATAAATCATAACAACCATTTATATGTGTCCTGTGTCAGAATCCCCAGCTTAACACAGTGTTATTCTGCACTACATTCGGGCAGTGTTTCACAACAAGCATGTAAAATGGAAAAAAAAGTCCTAGTAAATTAATTAATAGATTAATAAACTAAAAAGGGCGAAAAGCCACAGTTCTTGTTGACAGTGACCTACTCTCTGGTCTAAGGGCCTGATCCAGTCTTTTCAGCAGTCAGTACTTTCTGGACCCTCTACAGAGCCAGACAATCAGGACAGCTGTGCCGACCGGGATGAAGCCTCAGACAACACTGTTCCTTGCTGTAAAAGCGTGGCACAGCAGCTAATGTGCTTTAAACGAGCACAGAACCAGCACCGCACCAGGCAAAGAGTGCGCTCTGCTGTCCTCGGCCAACCGGGGCACCTACACCCTCGCAGACATGCCATAGGTGGGGTCCAGCAACGGAGCACTGGGGTATGACGGACTTGCTCACGGACGGCTGGTGCGATCGCCCACTGATCGCCCCCAGATAATCACGACCTGTCAGCGGACATGACGTTTTTCAATTCTGAGTCTAAGGGTGGCCCAAACATGTATTCTATTCTCCTGCCTGGAGACTGCGGCCAGGTGCAGTTTACCAGCATCCCAAAATCACTGCAGCCACTCTTCGTCCAGAAAAGGTCAGATGATCGTCGCCCTTTTCTGGATTCAGGTTTTATGAGCTCCCTCTTCCCTGTCCTCCCACTCAGTGCATTCTGGTTTTGAAAATCAATCCAGATCTTGTTAAAAGAAACTCCACGCGTTGACCCGCGTCTGAGAGCTGCGGCACAGCCTCCACACCCTCCGAGACGGGGGGGGGGAACGTTTCCGTTTTTGAAGCTGCAGCATTCAGGAACAAACATGGCACAGCTCTGCAGAAACATCAGCAGTTTATGAATCCAAGTTGGCAGCTGCATGAGGCTCCCATTAACTCATTAGCATGCGTGCACCATCCCCCACGCAGCCACACAAAGACTCCGGGAGAAGAGTGTGATCACCCCCCCTCCCAGGCCTGCGACTGATCGCCTCGCCCCGCTGACAGCTCGCAGGCTGGCCGCCCCCGCCTCACAGAAATGAGAACCACAGCAGTGGGCTGGCGGGGGGGGGGGGACCCCACGATGAGGAAACTGGGGGTCGGGGGGGTTGTGATCGCAGTGCTCGATGACAGAACTCAAGGACATCGCCTGGGCCCGTGGGCAGTTCATCTGAACACCACCACACCCTAGCCCTCCGAGCGATACGGAGTGATCTGGCCACATCTCCGCATCAGCTCGCTGTAACACGCTGGCGTGGGCATGGACGCAGGCGCTACGCTTAATTCAAGCGTCCCCTTCCATCTCGGTTTCGCCCAAGCCTCGCAGCAGAGATCAATAGCCAGTGACCACAAACTGTTGACGCCTCACTTTCAGGTCTAATTTCAAGCCTGATCCTCTCACTTTCTCCTTGAGGAGCAACACAGTTGTTACTCTGCGCTTCCTCTTCTTCCCAGAAAATTGACACGCAAACTGCACCCCTTAGGGCAATTCAAGCACATGTCTCAGGGCCAGTTATTTCTCATATAAATAGAAATGAAGTAACTAAAACACAGCAGAGAAACGTGAAAGGAGTAAAAAAAGTAAATATATTATGATACGCTGTATCATCTATTAACCCTTTTATACAAGGTTGTCCAACCCTAATCCTGGAGAGCCAAAATCCAACAGGTCTTACAGGTCACTGCTAAATCAGCAGCTTGTGAAGGCCTGCAACAGCAGCCTCGATCAGACTGGGGGGACCACTTGGTCAGTTAAGCCAGCACCACTTAGAGAGCAACCGGCTGCTCACGTTTCCCTTTCCAAACGTTTTCATTTCATTTCAGATGATCTCACAGCTACTGAATCGAAACAAATCTCCTGCTTCAGTGGTCAAAATAAGCTTCTTCCAGGCGTGTAAAAAAACAAAACAAAACTGATGGGTTAAGGGTGACCGTTTCTGTCTCCTAGACCACAGCTCTCAAGGACCAGGGTTGGGCCACCCTGCACTACGACATGATCCTGAAGGTTTCAAGCACACCTGGATATCCCAGGAGTCCCAAGAGAAAGTCAAGCAACAGCTCGCTTTGCGTTGAGCAAACTCTACTGCTAGAGAGGTCCCTTCTTTCAGCGGGACTCTACCACACTCCAGCACGAGGGCCAGAGGCACCATCTGAAGCATCAGTGCACCACGGACTGCAACACCATGAAACTCAGCTTGTTCTGTTCCATACTGACAGGTAGGACAGCGCAGCTGTGAGAAATCAGTACCACTATGCACAACAAAAACACAAAATCAGACCACTACAATATCAACCCTGTTACAACCGTAGTGTTAAATATCAACACTCCAACAACCAAGGACCCCGAGATGAGCACGAAGGGCCCTTTTCCAGGCTGGTGAAGCCTCATCTCAGGGTCCCACATGCCCCTTTCACACTACTGTGTTCGTCCCGGGTCGAGCACAGACACAGCATCGAGGTGTAACAGGTCCCACCGGACTGCAGGTAGGCTCGGCGGCGATTGGGGTTCGGCTGCAAACTGCCAGCTTGATTTTGGGGTATTGCACAGCAAAAGAAGGGTCACTCAGGACAGGCAGGGGGCAAGCACAAGCAAGTTCTCCGTGACAAAAGACAAAACCTTGTGATGTTACTGCAACACTCCCTTTCCAAACACAAGCTGGGCTGCACTGAGCACAAAGAAGCACACAGAGCCCTGTTGTACCCACACAAGGGCGACAGTGTACGCAACTAAAGCAACAGATCAGAAGCATTGTCAACGCACAGCATTGACTAAACCTGTAGTCAAACCACATGTGTGAATTCAATCGGATAAATTAAACATCCATCTGCAGGAGCTGTGACTAACGAGAAAGACATTTAAGTTAAAATTGTTGCCTTTAAATTGATTTGGAATTTTCGACCATGTTATCATCTATCTGTATCCAGTTTAGGAAGTGATTCATGTCAGATAGTCCATGCCAGCTGCAGGGGGGGTACATCACCTCCTGATGTCACTGCATGTTTGCTGGGCACCAGGCAGGTCCCAGCAGCCCTTGCTGCATCACGTCAGCTAACGCCAGCAGTATTCTGGCAGCCGTCACGACAGCTGTGTGCTTCTGCTGGGGGACTCCCTGTCACAGCCCGCTAGTGACACGACCCAGACTGGACTGGCAGCTTCTGAACCGCAGGGCACTGCGCACCGGATCCTCTGCGGGCCTAGCCCAGTGCCAGGAGACACTGAACCTGATCAGTCCGCCCAGGAGCAGTAGCAGAACCTCTGAACACCCCCCAGTGTCCAAAGGTCACAGTTCTGAGACCCGTGGCACCACCCACACCAAGGACACAAACCCAAGAGCATCCAGGTGGAACAGACTAGTTCTCCTGCCTTCCACACCTGGCACCAATTACAGAAGCCATTTCTGGCTTCTAAGTCTAAGGACTTTATGGTACCCAAGAAGAACGGATACAAGGCCTTCTAACAATGGGTCTGCACAGCGGTGCAAAGCAGACAGCAGTCCTCACCCAGTAACACATCACCAGACCCACACAGGACCCAGGATCCCTCTCAGGACCAGCACGGTACCTGTATATCCGTGTCCTTCACGGGCTCCAGGGGCTCAAACGTTGTTGCCGCGCTCAAGCTCTCCAGGCGCTGAGAGATGTGGAAAATGTCCAGTCCTCTGGATCCCAGCAGGATTGAGCTGAAACAGACAGGCCAGTCAGGGCATAGTGTGGACACAAACCAACTCTGAGCTCTCGCTCTCTGTTTGGGTTATGGGTGTAGAACATTAGAGGCAAGAATCAGCTGAAGTGTGTCAGGGAAATGAGCTATACAAAATGTATCTATACTGTTAAGAGTCTTATTTCTGGTTTCTGTCTTTACTAAAGCAAGCAGCCCAATGTTGCACATTATCAGCTTCATCATCACATTTGCAAAGAGAAGATCATTTACATGACATAACCAATAGCACTATGGCAGGAGGGCAGACTCATAACTGGGCAAGTCTTCCTCCTTAAACCCTGAAGACGGGTACCATTTGTAACCACATTTGCCCTCTGGCAGGGAAGCCAGGGCAAGCATGAACAGAAGTGCGAACAGGGCACAGGCATCAGGAGACAGGGACGGTGACAGGTCTGGGGAACAAGACTACTTCAATGCTGCTCTTTTTCAAGACGACAAGCTTGAGGAGCTCAGATTCCACCCAGGCGCCCGAACCCCCCCCGAGCGCCGCAGCACTTACGCCTTGACGTCGGCCGTCTCCTGGGAGGCGCGGGTCAGGGTGCGCGACCGGAGCCTCTCGCCGGCCTGCTGGATCTCCTGCAGGTTGCGCTCCACGTGGGGCAGCTCCGAGATGGCCTCCGTCTCGGCCGCCAGCTGCTCCGCCTGCTGCAGCAGCTCTCCGAAGCCCTCCGCGTCCATGGCCGGCCTGCAGGCAGGAGCGGCGGGACGAGCTGAGGGCGGGAGCTCTGGGCCGCATCGCTCTCAGGACGAACACTATCCACTTATTGACACCACAGTCACCTACAGGCATCTCCTCGGTCCAGGGGGGACCGATGAACGTACAATGGCCGATATCACAACGGGCACCGATGGAGCATCAAAATAACAGAACTTCATACACCCGTCTTTAAAAACTGAAAGAAGGGGCCCCTGCAAACCACAATTCAGATCAGCGTGGGAATTTTTTAAAAAATATTAGTATTCAGCGCCCAGATTTTACACAGCAAAAGCGCAGTTGGGTGTCTTGAATGACTGAAACCCGGCCATTCTTCCCAGACTTGTAAGTAAAACAGCGCGTAATCAGAAATCTGAAACTATTTTGTGCAGGGGAAAAAAAGGCTTTTACAATTTATCATGCTGTTTGGAAAACCGTAAATACATAAGCCTAAGATCAATAACGGACAATACTCGCAGTGTAACCACTGTCCAACGTGCGTATTACCAGCTCGGCGCTTAAGATGTCGAGAAAAAACAGGCCGTAGTGATCCTCTGTCAGAACTAGAAACATCATATACGAGGATTTACTCACCTTCTACCTTAGACTTCAGTAAAGTTATTCGATATCGCGTTTAAAAAGATGTATATTTTGACAGCAGCTCGCCTAACTGTATCCCTCCTTCGGCGGAGCACATTCCTCCCGGCACTTCCTCAACCCTCTTCTCATTGGACCCCACTGCTCCCACAGGCCTCAGCGCCTTCAATATAACTTTATTGAATGACAGGGGAGGACAAACACCGCACTTCGCACTTGCGCGTCGTGAGGCCGACGCCATGTTGGCTCTAGAACTGTGAGCCGTAATGGCGATTACGTGCACCAACCCATTAGATAGATAGATACTTTATTAAAATTGCAGAAATTGCAGTGCAACAACAGCCAGGCACACTCAACACAGCACAGTGTAACAAAATGATACAATAATACAACAATACAATAAAGTCAGTGAGAAGTGCAGTAAAAAATGGAGTATGCAGAGTTGCAGTACACAAGATGTATTGCACAGTATAAATATATTGCACAAATCCACCAGCATATATTGCACATCAGTTGTAAACAGAAAAACCAGCTGTAAACAGAGAATTCATGTTTAGTCAACCTTCCCCTGCCCAGACACACAGTGGATGAGTTGTATAGTCTAATGGCAGAAGGCAAGAATGCCCTTCTCTAGCACTCCCTGTCGCACCGCGGGTGGATCAGCCTATTGCTGAACGTGCTCTTCATTCTCACAAGCGTGTCATAGAGGGGATGGGAGGTGTTGTCCATTTTTGGACACCATTCTTCTCCTTGGCTAAGGATCTGCGCCAGTAGGTTGCCGGTTCGTATCCTACGGCTCGCAAAGGAATCCTACTCTGTTGGGCCCCTAAGCAAGGCCCTCAACCCCATCTGCTCCAGGGGTGCCGTATAAATGGCTGACACTGCGCTCTGACCCCCAGCTTCTCTCCCTGTCTGTGTGTCTCATGGAGAGCAGGTTGGGGAATACAAAAAGACAAATTCCTAATACAAGAAATTGTATGTGGCCAATTAAGTGATCTTATCTTATCTTACCTCCAAGGGACCCAATCAGACTCAATGACAGAATTTGCTCTTTTGATGAGGTTGTTCAACCTGTGCAGCCCCTGCACACCGCTGCTTAGACACCTGCACTTGCTACAACTGACTGATAGAACATATGAAGCATCTTACTACACACATTGAAGGACCTGAGCCTCCTCAAGGAGTAGAGTCGGCTCTGACCCTTCATGTAGTTGGCCTCGGTGTTCTTAGACCATTCCAGTCTATCGTCAATGTGCACTCCCAGGTACTTGTATGAGTCCACTATCTCCACGCCACTCCCATGGATGCAGACAGGAGTAGGTTGGACCCTCTTCCTCCTGAAGTCTATCACTAACTCCTTCGTCTTTGCCACGTTCAATTGCAGGTGGTTCTCCCCACACCACTCCACACAGCTGTCAATCAGTCCTCTGTACTCCTCCTCCTGCCCACCCTCAATACATCCTACAATTGCAGAGTCATCTGAGAGCTTCTGCAGGTGGCATGACTTTGAGTTGTACTTAAAGTCCAAAGCACAGAGGGTGAAGAGGAACGGAGAAAGAACTGTCCCCTGAGGAGCCCCTGTGTTACTCACCACCTGTTCAGACACACAGTTCTGCAGTCTCACAAACTGTGGTCTGCCTGTCAGATAGTCGGTGATCCATGAGATCTTGGAGGTCATTATCGCTAGCAGCTGGATCCTGATCTATATATTCACTCTCGGTTCTTGAGGCACAAGCTTGATCCGGTTTTCATTCCATCTTGGACTATGAATGATTTTATTTCAATTGACATTTTCTTTTGATCTATATGAGTTCTGTTTGCTCCTTGAGGATTATAATGTTGAATAATTATAAGGCATATGTAAGGGAATATTCCTGGGTCACAATGAGCCACAGCCTAATCCAGCAGTCACAGAGAAAACTGGGGCACCTAGAGGAGCCCGCCAGACCACACACAGGCATCTCAGGTCAGAACTGAACTCAGGACACGAGATCTCCTGAGGCAACAACACTGACCAGCATAACGCTGTGCTCTTCAGCAAAAACTTCAGTAGTTCTTTTAAATTACAATTTTAAAGGTCACTACTTCACACCAGAGCCCTATAACTTAACAGTGCTTAAACATGTGATAACTGTTTTATTGGTCATAGTGGAACATCATGATACATTAATGTTGCATTAAGAGGAGATATATACTATACAATTATTTCCTTCTCATAGTATTCAAAATATTTCCTTTTACTAGAAGAGCAAAGCTCTGCAGGTTCCCTGGGCTGTCTGTGGAAGCCAAGTTCAGACTGTAGTTTCACAGAGGAGATCAGGAAACATTCTGTAAAATGCTCAAGGAGCAATGCTCCCTCTCAGCTGTGCGCGTGTGCGCACGCACACAAGTTATGAAATCAACCCACATAGGGAATTGAACTGCGCACAAAAAATTAAATTCCCCCAAAAATATTATAAAACAATTACAGTTGTCAATTGAAAAATGCTGAATTGACCACAGGAGACTGGCTGCGAGAGGCCCAGCTGGGCTGTGTGCTTTGTCATCGCTACTCGATCGTCGATATCCACACTCTTGTAGTCTCGTACCCCTGCTCCTGCTCGCTCCACACTCGTTGAATCGCTGTCCCGGTCTTTTGGATGTCTATGCTTCTATGAGAATGATTTGTAGGTAAATATTTAAGATGCATCTTCCGTAACTACTGCATTGATACAATTTCAGGGAGTTCCCAGTCTAGGTTACATGATTGAACCCTTATTTGCCCAGGTAATTGGGTTAATATGAACTCGTGGTTTTCTGATGTTAATTAACAGGGGAGAAGTTCTAACTATTGTGTTCCATGGTTAACAAGATCTCAGAGCCAAGCAGAAAAACCCTCATCATACAGGTGCCACTCAAGTAACTTGCGAATTAAATAAACCAGCGCAGGTGGAAGGGTGTTGAAGCGCAGGGGGTGTCAGTCCTCTCGGGAGCAGAGCAGGAGCTCCGACTGACGGGCGCTGTAGTTCATGGAGCTGGAGGACTGCCTTAACACGCCAGGCTCGAACAGCCTTCATGGCCGGCGTCCTGGCCACACTTCCCATTGGCCCTTACCAATCATGGCCACCTAATAATAATCCCCCATCTTGAATTGGCTTCATTACTCTGCTCTCCTCCCCACTGATAGCTGATATGTGGTGAGCGTTCTGGTGCACTATGGCTGCTGTTGCATCATCCAGGTGGGGCTGCACACTGGTGGTGGTGGAGGGGATCGCCATTACCTGAAAAGTGCTTTGAGTGGAGTCTCCAGAAGTGTAAGGAATTATCATTATAGCCACCATCTTAATGATCCCCAATGAAGGGCGCGTTTGGTTTAAAATAAACCAGCATTGTTCGATAGAGCAATTGAACAGAATGAACGCAATCAACGACATCTTTTTATTTTCTAAAGCAAAAGGACGTACAAAACATTACATTTCCAGATTCTCAAGTGCAGTTATACAAGAGGGAAAACGAAGGGCGAGGTGCTCACTGACAGCAGCTCGCGCCGCACTTGCCGTCCTTGCACACGCAGCCGGAGGCGCACTTGCCGCAGCCGGACGGGCAGCACGCGCAGCAGCCTGCGGGCACAAAACCGGCGGTTAGGTCGCGTGGGTTACCGGCCACCCGTTCGCGCGGAGCACTCTTTCGCGTTATTCTCCACGTTGTGGAGGGAAAAACAAGGACATACAATGAACACCAGGAAAATAGAACTGCCAGTACTTCAGGGCTGTCTGTAGCGGCGAGTCTTAACCTGGCGCACGCCCACCTGAGCCGCATTGTTTTGGTAAATCAAACGCACAGAGGAGCTACAGCTACATTGTTTCACTAAAACTAGTTATTATAGTAACCAACACTTTGTTTCAGTATACATGGTTTAATAGTGTAGCATTTTCATGTTTTCGTAGTTTTACTGCGAAATTAAAGTTATATTCCCCCTTTCAGTCTATAATTATGACATCTTGTTTAAAGAGCTGACCTACTTCAACAGTTCTGATAGGTGCGAGACCATATTAAGAGCCCAAGCGGTGCTGTTCCAGTGCAGGTGAAGACCTCCAGCTCTGCAGCACAGCGCTTTCTATAGCCACTGGAGCTTCCGAAAGGATTTTATAGCACGTTAAACCATTCCCAAGCCTACAGCAGCAGCAGCAGCACCAGCAGGGCGAGAACTTACTTTTCTTGCAGCCTTTGCATTTGCAATCCGTGCATTTGCAGCTGTCTCCGCAACTGCAAGAGCCCGCTGTGAAAAATAAAACAAACAAAAGAAAATCAATAAAACATAGATCACACCACAGGTAACCCAAGGACGCCGTTTCCATCACATCAACGTCTCCATCACGTTTTACTTCGTCTATTTGCAAGGCAGAAGTCAGAAACATTATTAACCACTATAAATCAGATCGTTACTTACTTTTAGAGCAGGCGCAGGACTGAGGATCCATTTTTTAATTTAATTTTTTTTTCTCGTGTTTCCTCCTCGTCGGGCTCCGGGGATTGTGAGTGCGTGCCGGGCTCCGGCGGCTCGCGGTATTTATAGGGCGGCCGCTCGCGGCACGCCGAGTGCAAAGCGGAGCGCGCGCAGTCAACAACGGGCCGGCCTGCACACGTCTTGTCTGCAGCGCTCGCGTCGCCAGGCGGTGTGCAAAGCGTCTCACCGCGGCGGGGCTGAGGGCCTTCCTCCGGGCGTCAGGGGATAAACAGTATTCCCATGTCGTCAGTCTGCTGCTGGCGTTGTTGTGCACGCGGTGCGATGACTCGATCATAAGGGGATCTTCTTAATGGTCAACTGATGTGACGATCGATCGCAAAACCTTAGACCCAAACCTGAAAATAAAATGATGTAGAATGTTTTTTATTTTTATTTGTATATTCCAAACGAAACAAAAACGTCTTTCTCGTGCACAGTGGAATGTGATAATGAGAACTGATACCGATTATAACTAAAACAAAAGATTTATTGCCGTTTAATTAATTTACAATCAATCAGTATAATTATAAGTTCTTTGGGCATCCTTTGTAAACCTTCTGATCTAGTGAGCTGCATATGCTAATAAAATAGAATTCTAATATAAAAAATCATAAAATCCTAAGTTATGGTTTTACGTACAATACTTAAATGATGGTACTTATTAATTGTGTGAGTTACTGTAATAAGTCTTGGTAGAAAAACGCTTGCCCGTTATCTTTATACCCATTAATTTAAGGCCAGATAAAGACGTGTTTATTTCGTCAGTGCACAAGGTGTCTTGGCGTCTGGTGATTCTGTTCTCCCACCTACACGCGTGTTTACTGTCTGTCTGGCGCAGCTGCGCTCGAGTCAGGTCAGCGCTGCGCCCCTCTCTCCGCTGCACGCGGGCCGGGAGTCCGGAGCGCTGCGTCACCATGACTCCCGGGGCTCTGCACACGGCACTGCGAGAGCACGAGCCCCGGGCTCGCGGCGTGTTCATCCCCTCCCTTTTGGTTGGCGATAATTAGGAGAAAACACCGTCTAGAACAACACTTCACGGGTCCACAGATCCCGAGTAATGACATATGTTGAATGTTGTAATTGCGTGGTTGCCTAAATCCATCATCCGCTTTAGAATACGGTATTTTTCTTTGTACCCATTGCTGCAATTTTACAGTTTTCACTGCAGTTTAAGAATATGCGAACTTGTTTTATAAGGTGGTAGAATTTTCTGAAAAACGGCGCATTTTGTTTCTCCCCTGACATATTTGCAGCATTGCATTCAGAAGTACTTTGAGTTTCGGTAGTTCTAATTTGTTCAGATTTCACTCATGTCATGTTCAATAACATAAAATGCAAATAAACAGTAAAAAGCGCGCGAAGGCTTGTTGTGAAAGTGTCAAGAATTACTGAAGTTCAGAGCGACTTTTCTCTTTTTTGCAGAACCGTGCATGTTTATGCCAAGAAAGTAGGACTCTGTGTTCATCTAAAAAAAAGTTCATTCCCTCTTCAGAAAGGGCTGTAGGTGGCGCGGGCGCTAGTTGTGAGAGCTCGGGTCCTGGGCGAGCGGGGTGTGCGCGCATGCGTGGGACCTGCGCGCTGGAGGAGGAGGGGAGAGGCTCTCGCTGGCACGCGCCTGGCAGTCCACCCTGGCGTGCCATCCGGCTCGAGGAAACGCCGCTGTGCGGAGCCGCGACGGAGGGCGCGCGGTGGCTCGCGACCGTCTTGTAGAGTCCGGGAGCCCGAGCCCAGAGTCTCCGTGCTGGTGACGTCACAGCTAAGCCTGCACGCTCCTCAGTGTGTTCGCCGCTTGAGACGGGTCGTCCGGTAAGAAACTGCATTTAAAAGAAAAATACAATAACGCACACGTCCGAATTTGCTCATAGAACAATTGTCCAATTGTACCCTCACGTTTTAGGTCAGGGCATCCCTGGCTAATCTAGGAAAATCAAGCGCGACAAAGTTGATTTTCGAGATTGAGCCTGCGAGAGTACTTTTTGCCTTATACGTCATGTCTTCTGTGTTTGTGCCAAGAAAGCTGAACTTTGTGTGTTTTATTTACCTGCATATTTTCATTAACGAGTATGATTTCCTAGTTCGCCTCTCGCGGTTGAATAAGAAAACGGCCGGCCGGGATTAGCGCAAAGCTTTGTCAAGATGTCGTGCGTTGCTAGGCAACGCGGCGCCGGGCCTACTGTCAGGCTGCGAGCTGTTTATATCGGGACTGGGCAAGACCAGGAGCGCAGGGCTCAGCCAACATCTTTAATCGCGCTGACGGCTGGTTTTACTGGTACAGTTTCCAGCTGTGGTCCGTGATTTTAGCGCGGCTACGACATGCACGTACTATACCACGTTAATCCCACTGTGGGACTGCAGTGTTTAAGTTTGTACCACGTCTCTCGAGTGGTAGGGAGCTGTTAGGTGAGAACACGGCCTATCACTGTCTGTCACTGCATAGTCTTCACTTTTCCTTTATAACTGGTCATTACTCCTCCGGCCAGGTATATCAAAATATAATTTTAGCATAACCCTCCCCGGGCCACACAATAGGAACCTTTCAAATGTTAGTATTTTTCAAATAACATTTTAAAATATCAATAACAATTCCGCTTTTTTAAACAAAAAAGTCAAGTATTTTATACCTCAAATTTCAACCTCGTTTATTCAAGTTTTGCAGTGTTCACTAGAGTCCTGTAGAGGGCAGTGTTACACTGGTAAACAGTTCAATACGCTCGGGACTTGTGTACCCGAAGTGTAAGAACAACACATTATTATTATGATAAATAGCGCTTTTAAATTGCTTTACAAAAACAGCACACAAGGAGAGGAGATATCAGAATCACCATAAATGACAACAAGGGTTTGGAATGCAGTAGGAGTGTAAAGGAGGGAGACAGAACTGTAACGCAACGGGGGCTCAGGTGGGCACCCCTGCCTTCTGCCTTCACAGGTCGTCCCTGCAGCACTGGGGGCTCGAACCCGGGACTCCCACCTCACTCTACAGGGACCCAGCTTGTTGAGCTAAAGAGCTTTCTTCAATTCTTCTTTAGCTCTCTTTAGCTCAACAAGCTGGGTCCCTGTAGAGTGACGCGGGAGTCCCGGGTTCGAGCCCCCAGTGGTGCAGGGACGACCTGTGAAGGCAGAAGGCAAGGGCGCCCACGTGAACCCCCGTTGCGTTACAGAACCAATTAAATAAAAGCCCTTCTCAATAAGAAAACCTTTAATAATTCTTTCAAATAAAGAAGATTAAGAGTAATGTTTTCATCGATGTGACATCTGAGTAAACTGTTTTTTGACATTTAGATGTTGCGTATCCGTTGTGTGGTCTGTGCTGCCTGCTCGATGGCTGTCATGCCTTGTCTTTGTGCAGGGGGCAGCCATGCTTGTTCCAGTCTTCACGCTGAAACTGAACCACAGGATCAACCCCCGCATGGTGGCGGTGGGCAGGTTCGATGGGGTCCACCCGTGTCTCACAGCCGCCACGCAGGCAGGGAAGGTGAGGGCGCGTCACGTCTCCTGGCAGCGCACACAGCCACAGTCCGAGACAGCATCCGTGGGGGATATGACTTAATGTGTGGGGCTTTTCTGGGATTTAACATCTAGGCCTTTTGTGATGTCATTCTGATCCATGCAGCAAGTAAACACACATCAGTTTTGGAAAGGTCACATAATTACATACAAAAGCACTGGTACTGTGCTTTAATAGTAAATAAAGCTGCACGACTACGTTTTTGTAGATCCACACACGGACTGCCAATTCTGGTTGGGGTCCTGTAAGTACGTGACACTGACCTTTTTAAGTGAAATTGTGTCCGGACCCCCGCCAGCACGCTCTTGAAGTGTGAAGTGCTGGTGTGTCGCGGTGCAGCGTTGTGGATCTTTGTGTTGCTGCGCAGGTCTTCATTCACAATCCGCACACTCGCAGCCAGCGGCTCTTCTCCAGCCGGGTCAGCCAGAGCGCCCAGGACTCGGACATCTCCCTGCTCAACATCAACCAGGCGGTCAGCTGTCTCACCACAGGCACCCTGGCCCCGGGCAGCAGCTGCCACGCCCTGCTGGTGGGCTCCCAGACCAGCCTGCTGGCATACGACGTGCACAACAATGCCGACATTTTTTACAGGGAGGTGAGACCCGCACCCTGGAAACTCTGGAAAAGCCTTGTGTATGTGATCAGTGTAAAAGACATGCAGGAGAAGTGTGGACTCAGCAGTGTATATAGCCAGCAGCTATAACACTCTGCAACTCACACCTGGAAAACCACTGATGCTCAGCAGGTGTGAGCCTGGTCAGTACCTGAATGGGAGACTCCTGGGAAAATCAAAGGTAGTTATTAAAAGAGGGGGCGCTCACCCTGTGGTCTGTGTGGGTCCTAATGCCCTAGTGTAGTGACGGGCACACTATACTGTAAAAAGGCGCTGTCTTTCGGATTAGACATAAAACCGAGGTCCTGGATCTCTGTGGTCATTAAAAATTCCAGGGAGATTCTCGGAAAGAGTAGTGATGTTACTCCGGTGTCCTGGCCAAATGTGCCCCTGGCCCTTACCAATCATGGCCTCCTAATAATCCCCATATATGAATTGGCTTCATCACAGTGTTCTCCTCCCCACTGAGAGCTGGTGTGTGGGGAGTGTTCTGGCGCACTATGGCTGCCATTGCATCATCCAGGTGGGGCTGCACACTGGAGGTGGAGGAGAGTCCCCATTACCTGTAAAGAGCTTTGAGTGGAGTGTCCAGAAAAGGCCTATATAAGTGTAGGCTATTATTATTATTATTATTATCTTCCGATCTATTATTATTAATAATAATAATAATATTATTGCATACAGTGGTGATAGAATGTTTGGCTGAGTCAAAGTCCTGACCTTAATCAAATAGAAATGTTGTGGGAGGACCTGAAGCGGGGAGTTCATGCAAGAAAGCCCACCAACATCGTTGAAGCAGTCCTGTAAGGAGGAATGGGCCAAAATTCCTCCAGGCCATTGTGCGGGACTGATCCACAGTTACCATAAACATTTGGTTGAAGTCATTGCTGTTTAAGACATTTAATGTTGGATCAGTTTGATCAATAAATGAATGTAAAAGTATATGCTTTTGTGTGTTATTTGTTTTATTGGGTTCTATTTATGTATTTTGATGACTTTTTATGAAAGTCTGATCACATTTTTGATTTATGCAGAAATTCAGAAAATTCTGAAGGGTTCACAAACTTTCTATCACCACTGTATAGTGGAGCAGCTCATCACCATGAAGGATGCTGTTAATTCACATTTGCTTTCATCTTCAGCTGTGAACAACAAACATGCCCCTCTTTGTTGAAAAGGTAAGAATGTGTTGTTTATGTATTGCAGATTACAGATGGAGCCAATGCCATAGTTCTGGGGAACCTGGGTGACATCCCTTCACCCCTTGCAGTAATTGGGGGAAACTGCGCCTTGCAGGGATTCGATCACGAGGGGAACGACCTCTTCTGGACGGTAGGAGGGCTCCTCCATATCCACCCACATGGCAACGAGACACAACCAGCAGATCATTTCTGTCTCTACCCACAGGCATTAAAAGCTGCAACAGCCGAGTATTGAATGCAGTAGCGTTTGTTGTGTTTTTAATTACTCTCAGTATATTTTTCTTTATCTATATTTTCATTACCAGTGTAATACATGACCACTGGCTCTAAAGTAATGTTATTGAAAAGTTCAGTGGTATAATCAGAAACAGGGAACAGCTGGACCAAGTGCAGATTTTGCTGATAAGAGATGGTTCCCTCCTTGAAAGAATATGTTGACTCAGGAACTGGAGGAGGTGGTTTTCCTGCTCTCCTCTTCATACTGTAGAGCACATACTGTTGATCCACAGACCTTGTAAGGCTAACTCTTGAAGGATCTTTATGAATCAGTGCTGTGCAGTATAGTTGGAAAATGTGTTCAGTACCCCCACCTTTCCCAGTATGAAAACCCGTCTCCAGTTGTCCTTCTGTTTTTCCTCTGCTTGGTCATTTTTCCAGGCTCCTTTTAATTGTACAAGCCTGAAGCAATAAAGGCATCAGTAGTTCTCATTAGACGAAGGATGCTTTTGCCAGTTGAGCTCAGGTGCTTTGAGAATTTAAAAGAACAGTAAAGGAGTCTGTACATGAACGGTTGATCAGATGGATATTTCCTGCTTGTGTGCACACATATATGGATATGCTGTGTATTCTGGTGTGTGATAAATACAGATGCTCTGTAACTTTAATAATTCATAGAAATGCATTATTTTAGACACATGTTGATGTGCTGTTTTTTTTAGGTGACCGGGGACAATGTTCGGTCATTGGTACTGTGTGACTTCACTGGTGATGGGAAGAATGAGGTTTGTTAAAAATGAGTTGCTATACTAGATTGTCCTGTGCACATTTACAGTACACAAGCTTGTATTTGTGTTTGTTTGCACCCAAAGATGTCATGCAGTTGACCAGGTTCTTTTCTGTGCAGCTCCTTGTTGGTTCAGAAGACTTTGATATTCGAGTTTTCAAAGAAGACGAGCTGCTGGCAGAGATAACAGAAAATGAGGTACATCCTTTCTTCTTAAATACTGTCATCTTCCCAGATTAACGGCTCCATTGAGCAGGAGCGGTAGAAAACAGACTACATACATGAAATCACGTCTCCCTCTTCATCCCTCTGTGCTCTGCTGCTTTGCAGACAGTCACCTCTCTCTGCCACATGCATGGGAGTCGGTTCGGATATTCCCTGGCTAACGGCACGGTGGGCGTGTACGACAGGACGGCTCGCTACTGGAGAATTAAGGTAATACACCACCGGTAAATCAGACGACTGATGACTATTGAACTGCAGAAGAGTTCCATTCTGCGTCCGAAGTTTTGTGAAACCAAAGCCATGCCGATTGGTTCTCCTGATCAGCGCCGCAAATGTGTCACTTTAGTTTGACTGTTGAGTCAGCCAAAGTCTTCGTGCCATCATTGATGTGAGCCTGGCCTTTGAAGCTGATCACAGCTTGCAGTGTTGTGAGGGTGCTTTTTTTATGTTTGTAACATCGTAGCTGTTTATTCACATCTTTCCCAATTTGATGCAGAATAGCTATGCCTGCTATTGTCTTTTCCAGGTTTGAGTATTGTTATGCAATGTTTGCTGATGTATCCAAACATGTTCTGAAGTTGAAGCACCTTCAACTAAAATACTAAAAATGAGCATGTCAGGCTTCAACTTCCTAGCACTGCTACCTTGTGGATTTCACAGTAAAATACAAAATACTGCTGTTTCAATTGAAGCACTTGAACAGCTGACTCCTGGCCACACTAATGAACTGTTAACTCCCTACACATCATTTTATGCACTTTGAATTCAGAACTCTGACTTGGAGACAGTGTTTTCTGTTGTGTTTCTTCAAGGCTGTGGAATATGCTCCCAGCCCATACCAGATTTGGCATGTTAGCCAGGTCTTTTGAATCCTGCCTTAAAATTCAATATTATTCTGTACCTTTTATAGTATAATGTATAGTATACACTGTACTGTAGATGTGCTAATTGGGGTTTTGTTTTGTTCTTAGTCTAAAAACCATGCTATGAGCATCCATGCATTTGATTTAAATGCGGATGGCGTCGTAGAGCTCATCACTGGCTGGTCTAATGGCAAGGTGAGTTGTGACAAATGTCCTTTCAGGAAGAGGACAGTTCTAGTTTTAAGTCAGCGATTGTAGCTGTTAGTCCTACCAGGGTGCCTTTTACTGTTTTCCAATGTAAGCAAACCTGGGTGACGCTGCTGCACCTGTAACAACACCTCCTGAATCTCCTCTGCAGATGGACGCGCGCAGCGACCGGACTGGCGAGGTCATCTTCAAGGACAACTTCTCCTCCTCGGTCGCTGGCGTGGTGGAGGGAGACTACAGGATGGATGGTCAGACCCAGCTGATCTGCGCCTCTATCGAGGGAGAAGGTAAAAAATAGAGGGGTGTAACACAGTGGAAGGAGATCAATGAACACTTTTGCAGACTTCAGTTGACTGAGAAATCCTAAAGGATGCTGAACCTGCACTTCTGTAATGTAGGTCTACCTCTCTCTCTTCTGGTTATAGATGAGGTGTCTTTAATTCTGATCTTTTCAGTTCGGGGATATTTGCCAGCCAGTAAAGAAATGAAGGGGAACCTAATGGACACCAGTGTGGAACAGGACCTCATTCGTGAACTGAGCCAGCGGAAACAGAACCTTTTGCTGGAGCTACGTAACTATGAGGAAAATTCAAAGGTGCTCCTTCTTTTATTCTACATGTCAGACTTTAATCTTCATGCTGATGAGAAAGATGTTGCTGCACAAATAAAATCTTTGTTTCAGCTTTAAGCAGGAATATGGAAATAAGTTTTACTTTTACTCTCAGACAAGTTAATCTCTACTTGTACAGCAGTTTTGTGATAATATACGTATGTAATACTCTTAATGCAGTCCTCATACCACAGAGTGTGTCGTCAGTATGTCTGTAGGTGATATTCAGCATTCAGGTACAGAATGTGTTGATATCCCATTGGAGCTATTTTGGAATGCAAGTGCTAAACCTGCCTTGAGCCATATGCTGTGTTTCTGGCGGGCAGTGTGTAGCAGGATGTCTGACCAGCGAGGTGGATGCGCAGGGAGGAGTTATTCCAGCCAACACCCAGCTCCAGACAGCCCTGTCCGTCAAGGCTGGCACAGAGAGCCAGCGCCCTCACATCGAGCTCTGCATATCAACTCCCAACGGTAACTTGTATGCTTTTGTGTCCGAAAGTTGGCCATTTCTGACTTGCTCTTCCAAAACAGGCTCTCAACTGTTTCATTCATTTCTTCACCAATGTCAATAAATGACATTTATTTTATTTATTTAAAACATAGTCAATGTTTTTATCTTTACATACTTATACACATATGGCCATCGTAAGGAGAAGAGCAAATCTAAAACATTACTTTCAGAGTTAACATCCACAAGCCTGGTTTATATATAGTAAAGAAGAAAATGGAACACAAAACTTCTCATTGTCCTTGAACTTTGTATTTCAGGTACAGAATTGACTGCCTTTGAAACTGTCAGACGAGCATTAAAAAATCATAGAAATCCACCCTAGACAGAGGCGGAATTATTTTTAGACGTTTGCCACTTCCACGTGGAGCTAAGCCACACTTTACTTCTTTTAACTTTATTTGCAGAAACCATTATCCGAGCTGTCCTCATTTTTGCCGAGGGAATATTTGAAGGAGAAAGCCATGTCGTACACCCCAGTGTGCAGAACCTGTCGGGCTGCGTTCGAGTCCCCATCATTCCTCCAAAAGACATCCCTGTGGATTTGCACATTAAAGCCTTTGTGGGCAGCAAAAACAGGTAAAGCTTCTGGTGTGCACTTCAGAGAAATGTTGATGTCTGCTTTGAGAAGATAAAAATGTGCGATACTTCTGAATAATAGAACACAATCTGTTCAGCACAACAGCAGATTGGGAAAGAGTGCTAGCAACTTTCCTTCCTTTACCTCATGCGTAATGAAAGATATCTGTCCCCTGCAGACTCTCAAAGAGAAGCCGAGCATTATGAGAGGAATAGGAGCATGGTGTTTTCAGAGTTGTTATCTAAATGTTACCTGTTTTGCTTGCAACCCAGCACCCAGTTTCATGTGTTTGAGATAACAAGACAGCTGCCTCGCTTCTCCATGTATGAGCTGTGCAAAGACGACACTGCCCCCAGACCCAAGGGGAAGGTCACCTTTCAAATCAACGACCGCCCACAGAGGGTCAGTAGCTCCAGCACAAGTTGCCCGAAGAAGCAGCTCAATCCAGAAGAACATGTCACGATTCTCACCAGGGTTTTTTTAACATCTGGTTTTTCAAGGTGATAATGTGGCTGAACCAGAACTTCCTGCTCCCGGCGAGCCTCGAGAGCCCTGACGTCACCTTCACTGCGCTGCGGGCGGGAGGGCTGCTGTGCATCAGGATGCAGCCCAGTGGAGAGGTGCGGCCAGCGCATGGTCACCAGTACATAAGCCACCCTGCAGGCTGACACAGATAACTACGAGTCCTTGTGTCGGGGTATTTCCTGCGGCATCGAGATCACATCTCTCTGCCCCCCAGACAGCACAGATGGGTTAAGATGGTGATTTGTGTTGTTTTGGAGGGGAGATTTATTTCAGGCCCACCTTCATTCTGATTTTCCTATTTCATTGCGATGCAGTATGTTTAATTTTATGGAAGTGAATTATTGTATTTTTTCTCAGATCCAATTGAATACAGATGACATTGACCTAGCAGGAGACCTTGTTCAGTCTCTGGCCTCTTTCCTGGCTATAGACGACCTGCAGGTGGAGGCGGACTTCCCTGCCTACTTTGAGGACATACGGATGACCCTGACTGAGGTGAGCGTTGAGGCAGCTCTCTCACTTGAAGGTTCAGAGATGCATAGCAAAGTCCAGTTCCCTTGTGACAGTTTATCAGGGTGAACCGTGAACATGCAGGGACAGCCACGATTCTCACGTGCTTTTCCTTTGCTCTTCAATGGTGTCCTACGGTCGTGTCACCCTTTACTGCACCTCTCTGTGCTTTACCTGGATTTCCTGTGCAAAGGGTCCTTGTCAGGTGCGCAGGTCTTTAAAGACCAGGGAGGAAGCACATTTTGGGCAGCTAGGCCTTTCCCCCGCTGACTCTGAAACCATCTTCAGAAATACAGTACAGCTGAAAGGAATAGAGTGCCTTCGTTAACCCATTCTATAGCTGAAGCCACTGCCGTCTCTAGAGATTAGTTAAATGATCTCTGGCACATTAAGCAGTCTAATCACACAGTGGTAATCCACTTCTCTGTGTTAGGTGGACGAGTTCCATTCAGTGCACCAGAAGCTGACGGCAGTGATGGCAGACCACTCGAACGCCATTCGCCACATGCTGGTCCAGGCTGAAGACGCGCGTCTGATGGGGGACTTGTGAGTGCTGTTCTGTCCTGCGTCACTGTTCCAGGAACAGAGCCCTCTTTTGAGAACATGGAGCACATCAGCATCCTAACGTGCTCTGGGAGGAGGAGTGTTTACCCAGAGAAGATAAACACCAACCTGGTCTCATGTTTCAGTGAAATACAACCACAACCCATATCTTCTATTTGGATTTTTTTTCTTTTTTGGCAGATAGCATTGCCTGCTTTGTATGTATGCACATGCTGTATAATACAGTCATATTTCCTTGAGGTTACGAGTGTGTATTTAATCTTTGCTCTCTCCGACCTTGTTGTAAAAGTTACGGAGCTCTGCCTTTCCTTTTCCCCAATCAGGAAGACGATGAAGAAGCGGTACATAGAGCTGTACGACCTGAACAGAGATCTGATAAACGAGTATAAAATCCGCTCGAACAACCACACTGCGCTTCTGAGCTGCCTGAAAGCTGTGAATCAGGCGATACAGAGGGCAGGCCGGCTGCGAGGTGAGGGCCTGAGCAAGGGTCAGCCCACAAAAGGGCTAAAAAAAATTAGATCGACCACGATTAAGTGCCGTTCTTTTTTGGGGGCTTATCTCTGGCTGGTGTTCTGTGGCTCTGCAGACGCACTGAGTGACTCTCGCCCTGGTCTTCTCCACAGTGGGCAAGCCGAAGACCCAGGTGGTCACCGCCTGCCGGGACGCCATCAAGAACAACAACGTCAACGCCCTCTTCAAGATAATGCGGGCCGGCACCCCGTCCTCCTGACCCCAGGCCAGCACCCCTCCCGAAACCCTGCCGCCAGCCTGGGTCCTGCAGTGTGAGGAAGAGGGTCCCGCTCTTCCTCAGACTGCGCGTTTCCCGGTTCCTGACGCCAGCGCTGTGCTGAAGAGCCCTGCATTTCAGGGGAAATTTCCCGCTGTGGAAACTTTTATAATGTATATGTTCTCTGGGTACCATGTAATGTACTTAAAATGGATTAGATGACATGAAAATGCGAGATTTTTTTCTAGATTGTACAAAGCCTCATGCACCACTTTTTCTGTGTATTATTTATAAGTTCAAGTATAAGCAATGACATACTGTATGTTTGAGTGTTGTTTATATACAAATACATTAGTTTGTGTAAAAGGAAGTTTCACTGTGTGCTATCTGGCTTTCTGAGCTCTAAGAATAAGCCTGTGCTTCTGAATTCCTAGGGATCACAATTCCCTGAATTCTTAAGTCCTGTTGGTTTTGAATTCCCTGGAAATTCTTGGTATTCTTAAATGACAGGATTCTAAATTCCCTGGATTATAATGTTGTACGTAGTAAATGAAGAGGGAGTTTTTAATTAACTATTCAAATAACTCCTGTATGTAAATGCAAACCGAAAACAAAATTGAAGCTAAGAACTGTCAAGTGCATTAAAATACAATTTCCAAATGGAATATGTTCTTTACACGGGCAACATCATCGAATTGGTATTGTTAGCTTTATGACTAAGATCTTGAAATGCGTTACACGGGACTAGGGGAAAAGTTTTATTCGCTTTAGTTGAAACGCGTTTCACGTCTGCCGTTCAAGAGGTTATGACGTTAAAACCTTATACGTCATTTTTTAAAGCAGTGCAGAAATTCCACTCGACTTGTGTGCGATGTATCGTGCGTGTCGTGCAGGGCAGCACATTCCGCCTGGAGAGCAGGAGGCCGGGCCGGGCAGGTCCGCAGCTGGAGCGCGCTCCTGCGCCCGCCGGCTTCCGGTCTGCTGCGCTGGCATCTGGCTCCGGGGGCCGACTGGGAGTCACGTGAGCCCCGAAACATCTGCACTGGAGCTAAGCGCTTCAGCTGGGGAAGGGGGTGTGATTAAATAAAAAAAATCACGGTAGGTGTGGCGCAAGCCTAGTGTTCTGCTCATGTGTTAGGTTTCTCCAGAAACCAGCGACACCGTCTCAAGCAGCGCTGAGTGTGCTGCCTTGTTTGACTGCAGTGCCATTAATTGAAACCAGATGTTGGGCACAGTAGTGTGGAGCCGCACAGCTGCGCGGGCTGGTCGCCCTCTGAATGCGGTGAGTGTTAAACAGAGTTGACGACGCGTTAATTAGATGGCGAGGGTCGCTGATGATCGCGCGTTGGTCTGTCGAGCGGTCCAGCGAGAAAATTCGGGATTTTCCGATTCTGTGATTTTTCACAAACTTCTGCAGCAGCGCCTGAGAGCTCTAGTCGGCGTAAGCTGTTCTGTTGCAGAATTTTCCACTTTCCGACTTGCGCGTAGAAACTACTTTTTAAACCCTTTTGTTGGATTGCAGTAGCTCCTAAAACAGGCCGTTAACGGCCTCTCTCACTACCGACCCGCTGTCCTCCTTTCTGCGTTTCTTAGGCAGCTGAGCCATCAGTTCGTGTCGGGCCGTTAAATATGTATAAACTATATAAACTCGGTTTCATCACCGTTAGAAACGAGTTTACAGAACCCCAGTCTGATCAGAGGTCACTCGCCGATCATCTGTTTTGTTAACGGTTAGCGGGGAATTGGGAAGGTTAGCTTCTCTTAACATTTATCAGTTGGAACATTTTAAAGCCTTTGCTTTTTCACCACCCTCCTTCCAATCGTAACACGATTCCAATGCTAATTTTAATAAATTCGTGTTTGGAATGAGAAAATCTGGGAAGGGGCACCACTTCAGATGGAAACCAGCTATGATGATAGAACAACGTCTGCATGCTAAGCGATGTCCAAGTTTGGGGATTTGAGTGCCCGCTGTAATGTGATATAAACAGGAAATGCCACAAATGTCTCCATGAAGAAAAGCAGTCCAGTACCCACTGCATCCCAGCTCTTCCCCAGCCTGTCCACTCCAGCGCCTCTGTCCCCGGCTCTTC